ACATGAGGACGGCCCCGTGGAGGACCCCCCTCAACATGAGGACGGCCCCGTGCCCCCCCCATCATGTGGACGGCCCCGTGTCCCCCCCTCAACATGAGGACGGCCCCGTGCCCCCCCCCCTCAACATGAGGACGGCCCCGTGCCCCCCCTCAACATGAGGACGGCCCCGTGCCCCCCCTCAACATGAGGACGGCCCCGTGCCCCCCCCCCCCTCAACATGAGGACGGCCCCGTGCCCCCCCCCCTCAACATGAGGATGGCCCCGTGCCCCCCCCCAACATGAGGACGGCCCCGTGGCCCCCCCCCCCCTCAACATGAGGACGGCCCCGTGCCCCCCCCCCTCAACATGAGGACGGCCCCGTGCCCCCCCCTCAACATGAGGACGGCCCCGTGCCCCCCCCCCAACATGAGGGACGGCCCCGTGCCCCCCCCCCCCCCTCAACATGAGGACGGCCCCGTGCCCCCCCCCGGCCCCGTGCCCCCCCCCTCAACATGAGGACGGCCCCGTGCCCCCCCCTCAACATGAGGACAGCCCCGTGTCCCCCCTCAATATGAGGACGGCCCCGTGCCCCCCCCCTCAACATGAAGACGGCCCCGTGTCCACCCCCTCAACGTGAGGACGGCCCCGTGTCCCCCCTCAACATGAGGACGGCCCCGTGGGACGGCCCCGTGTCCCCCCTCAACAACATGAGGACGGCCCCGTGTCCCCCCTCAACATGAGGACGGCCCCGTGTCCCCCCCCCTCAACATGAGGACAACATGAGGACGGCCCCGTGTCCCCCCCCCCTCAACATGAGGACGGCCCCGTGTCCCCCCCAACATGAGGACCCCCGTCAACATGAGGACGGCCCCGTGCCCCCCCCGTCAACATGAGGACGGCCCCGTGCCCCCCCTCAACATGAGGACGGCCCCGTGCCCCCCCTCAACATGAGGACGGCCCCGTGTTCCCCCCTCAACATGAGGACGGCCCCGTGCCCCCCCCCCTCAACATGAGGACAACATGAGGACGGCCCCGTGTCCCCCCTCAACATGAGGACGGCCCCGTGCCCCCCCCCCTCAACATGAGGACGGCCCCGTGCCCCCCCATGAGGACGGCCCCGTCAACATGAGGACGGCCCCGTGCCCCCCCCCCAACATGAGGACGGCCCCGTGCCCCCCCCTCAACATGAGGACGGCCCCGTGCCCCCCCCCCCCCCCCTCAACATGAGGACGGCCCCGTGAGGACGGCCCCGTGCCCCCCCGTGTCCCCCCCCTCAACATGAGGACGGCCCCGTGTCCCCCCCCCATCAACATGAGGACGGCCCCGTGTCCCCCCCAACATCGGCCCCGTGCCCCCCCTCAACATGAGGACGGCCCCGTGTCCCCCCCTCAACATGAGGACGGCCCCGTGTCCCCCCCAACAACATGAGGACGGCCCCGTGTCCCCCCTCCCCCCCATGAGGACGGCCCCGTCAACATGAGGACGGCCCCGTGTCCCCCCTCAACATGAGGACGGCCCCGTGTCCCCCCTCCTCAACATGAGGACGGCCCCGTGCCCCCCCCCCGTGTCAACATGAGGACGGCCCCGTGTCCCCCCCCCTCAACATGAGGACGGCCCCGTGCCCCCCCTCAACATGAGGACGGCCCCGTGTCCCCCCCCTCAACATGAGGACGGCCCCGTGTCCCCCCTCAACATGAGGACGGCCCCGTGTCCCCCCCTCAACATGAGGACGGCCCCGTGCCAACATGAGGACGGCCCCGTGTCCCCCCCCCCTCAACATGAGGACGGCCCCGTGCCCCCCCTCAACATGAGGACGGCCCCGTGCCCCCCCCCCTCAACATGAGGACGGCCCCGTGTCCCCCCCCCAACATCAACATGAACATGACGGCCCCGTGCCCCCCCCCCCCTCAACATGAGGACGGCCCCGTGCCCCCCCCTCAACATGAGGACGGCCCCGTGCCCCCCCCCTCAACATGAGGACGGCCCCGTGCCCCCCTCAAAACATGAGAACGGCCCCGTGTCCCCCTCAACATGAGGATGGCCCCGTGCCCCCCCCTCAACATGAGGACGGCCCCGTGTCCCCCCCGTGTCCCCCCTCAACATGAGGACGGCCCCGTGTCCCCCCTCAACATGAGGACGGCCCCGTGGAACCCCCCAACATGAGGACGGCCCCGTGCCCCCCCCTCAACATGAGGACGGCCCCGTGGCCCCCCTCAACATGAGGTCGGCCCCGTGCCCCCCCCCCTCACGAGCCCCCGTGCCCCCCCTCAACATGAGGACGGCCCCGTGCCCCCCCTCAACATGAGGACGGCCCCGTGCCCCCGTGCCCCCCCTCAACATGAGGACGGCCCCGTGTCCCCCCTCAACATGAGGACGGCCCCGTGCCCCCCCCCCTCCATGAGGACCCCCGTCAACATGAGGACGGCCCCGTGTCCCCCCTCAACATGAGGACGGCCCCGTGTCCCCCCCCCTCAACATGAGGACGGCCCCGTGTCCCCCCTCAACATGAGGACGGCCCCGTGTCCCCCCTCAACATGAGGACGGCCCCGTGTCCCCCCTCAACATGAGGACGGCCCCGTGTCCCCCCTCAACATGAGGACGGCCCCGTGCCCCCCCTCAACATGAGGACGGCCCCGTGTCCCCCCCTCAACATGAGGACGGCCCCGTGCCCCCACCGTCCCCCCTCAACATGAGGACGGCCCCGTGTCCCCCCCAACATGAGGACGGCAACATGAGGACGGCCCCGTGCCCCCCCTCAACATGAGGACGGCCCCGTGTCCCCCCCCCGTCAAACATGAGGACGGCCCCGTGTCCCCCCCCCCGTGTCAACATGAGGACGGCCCCGTGTCCCCCCCCAACATCAACATGAGGACGGCCCCGTGTCCCCCCTCAACATGAGGACGGCCCCGTGTCCCCCCTCAACATGAGGACGGCCCCGTGTCCCCCCCCCCCTCAACATGAGGACGGCCCCGTGTCCCCCCTCAACATGAGGACGGCCCCGTGTCCCCCCTCAACATGAGGACGGCCCCGTGTCCCCCCTCAACATGAGGACGGCCCCGTGTCCCCCCTCAACATGAGGACGGCCCCGTGTCCCCCCTCAACATGAGGACGGCCCCGTGTCCCCCCTTCAACATGGAAACGGCCCCGTGCCCCCCCCCTCAACATGAGGACGGCCCCGTGCCCCCCCCTCTCAACATGGGGATAGCCCCGTGGTTCCCCCTCAACATGGGGGATGGCCCCGTGCCCCCCCCCCCTCAACATGGGGTAAGTGTCGTGCCCCCCTTCAACATGGTGACGGCCCCGTGCCCCCCCTCAACATGGTGACGGCCCCGTGCCCCCCCTCAACATGGTGACGGCCCCGTGCCCCCCCCCTCCCCCCCCCCCCCCCCCCTCAACATGGGGACGGCCTCATGCCCCCCCTCAACATGGTGACGGCCCCGCTCCCCCCCCCTCAACATGGGGACGGCCTCATGCCCCCTCAATATGGGAAGGGTCCCATACCCCCCTCCCCTCCCCTCAACATGGGGAGGGTCCCATACCCCTGCCCCCCCCCCTCCCCTCAGCATGGGGAGGGTCCCATACCCCCCTCCCCTCCCCTCAACATGGGGACGGACACAGCGCCGCTGCTTGGCGAGGTGTTTTGAAGTTGAATATCGAGCGTAGAGTCCATGGATTTTAAACTTAGTTAAAATAATAGTGAATTTAGATTTTGATTTTAAAACATGAGTTCAAATGACAGATTTGTATTTTGGACGCAACCTTTGGTTAGTGTTGAAGATAATGTGAATGGTTAGTGATGGGGAAGACTGAGAGGGTGGAGACGGGGTAGGGGGGGTGCAGGGATGGTGGAGATAGGGAGGGCGTGCATACTCACCTAGTTGTGCTGTGGGGGGTTGAGCTCTGGCTCTTTGGTCCCGAGTCTCACTGTCAGTCAACTGATGTACAGATTCCTGAGCCTGCTGAGTTCTATCATATCTACACCACAACTGTGTACGGAGTCAGCCTCCACCCCATCACTTACTGACGTTTTCCATTTGTCAACTACTCTGACACTAAAAAAAGTATTCCTAATATCTCTATGGCTCATTTGGGCACTCAGATTCCACCTGTGTCCCCTAGTGCGTGTGCCCCCTTTTGTTAAATATATTGTCTTTATCTACCCTATCAATTCCTTTGAGTAACTTGTATGTGGTGATCATGTCCCCCATAAATCTTCTGTCTTTCAGCGTCGTGAGGTTTAATTCCCGTAGTCTCTCCTCGTAGCTTATACCTCTCAGTTCTTGTACTTGTCCGTGTGGGACACACACTCACGGGTCAGACAACGGTCCCCAGACAGGTAAGGGGACACACACTCACGGGTCAGACAACGGTCTCCAGACAGGTAAGGGGACACACACTCACGGGTCAGACAACGGTCCCCAGACAGGTAAGGGGACACAACTCACGGGTCTGACAACGGCCCCCAGAAAGGTAAGGGGGACACACTCACGGGTCAGACAACGGTCCCCAGACAGGTAAGGGGACACACACTCACGGGTCAGACAACGGTCCCCAGACAGGTAAGGGGACACACACTCACGGGTCAGACAACGGTCCCCAGACAGGTAGGGGGACACACACTCACGGGTCAGACAACGGTCCCCAGACAGGTAAGGGGACACAACTCACGGGTCTGACAACGGCCCCCAGAAAGGTAAGGGGGACACACTCACGGGTCTGACAACGGGCACCAGACAGGTAAGGGGGACACACTCACGGGTCTGACAACGGGCCCCAGACAGGTAAGGGGACACACACTCACGGGTCTGACAACGGCCCCCAGAAAGGTAAGGGGACATACTCACGGGTCTGACAACGGTCCCCAGACAGGTAAGGGGACACAACTCACGGGTCTGACAACGGCCCCCAGAAAGGTAAGGGGGACACACTCACGGGTCTGACAACGGGCCCCAGACAGGTAAGGGGGACACACTCACGGGTCTGACAACGGGCCCCAGACAGGTAAGGTGACACACACTCACGGGTCTGACAACGGTCCCCAGACAGGTAAGGGGGACACACACACTCGCCAGTCAGGGGGTGACAGGCGCCGCCGGACATACAGTCAGGACACCACTCACTGCAGCCTTCACCATAGCGACCAGCGGGACACTCTGTAACAGTTAATGTGACGTTACTAAAGTGTGCTCCCATGTTGGGTGTTACAAGTCATGTGTCAGGTCTATGTGGGGTGTTACAAGTCATGTCTCAGGTCTATGTTGGGTGTTACAAGTCATGTGTCAGGTCTATGTTGGGTGTTACAAGTCATGTGTCAGGTCTATGTTGGGTGTTACAAGTCATGTGTCAGGTCTATGTTGGGTGTTACAAGTTATGTGTCAGGTCTATGTTGGGTGTTACAAGTCATGTCTCATGTGTCAGGTCTATGTCAAGTATGTTCTATGGGTGTTACAAGTCATGTGTCAGGTCTATGTTGGGTGTTACAAGGCATGTTGGGTGTTACAAGTCATGTCTCAGGTCTATGTTGGGTGTTACAAGTCATGTGTCAGGTCTATGTTAGGTGTTACAAGTCATGTCTCAGGTCTATGTTGGGTGTTACAAGTCATGAGGAATAATGTAAACGTAACAATACCAAAAGTTACAACAATTATGTTCACCGATAATTAACTTCCAACTTCTAAACCCCGCAGGTGAATATTATGAAAGACTATCAATTACCAGACGAGGTGTTGTGGCCGCTGCTCACCTCTCACCAGCAGCCTGAAGGTACCAAACTGCTTCTTGTCACTCCCAGGGTGGAATGCGCTGGTGTAGGGTATAACAGAATAGAAGCCAGACCCGGTGAGCTTGTCTGCTGGGATGATGAGCTGGTCGTCGTCCGTGAGGGTAGATGACTGCCAGTCATTACCAGTGGCGGGTTCCTTCTGCCACTCGACCTGACGAGGTGCTCTGTCCACCAGTGTGAACCTCAGACGGAGGTCCTCACCCTCACTGACCGTCACACTCAGCTGCTCCGGCACGTACAATGCTGAGAACAGTGAGAGAGAGAGTGAGTGAGACACATGGAGAGTGAGAGATACAGTGAAACACACAGGGAGAGAGAGAGAGAGATACAGTGAGATACACAGGGAGAGTGAGAGATACAGTGAGACACACAGGGAGAGTGAGAGATACAGTGAGACACACAGGGAGAGTGAGAGATACAGTGAGACACACAGGGAGAGTGAGAGATACAGTGAGACACACAGGGAGAGAGAGAGATACAGTGAGATACACAGGGAGAGTGAGAGATACAGTGAGACACACAGGGAGAGTGAGAGATACAGAGAGATACACAGGGAGAGTTAGAGATACAGTGAGACATACGGTATAAGGACAGTGAGAGATACAGTGAGACACACAGGGAGAGTGAGAGATACAGTGAGACACACGGTACAGGAAGAGTGAGAGATACAGTGAGACACACAAGGAGAGTGAGAGATACAGTGAGACACACAGGGAGAGTGAGAGATACAGTGAGACACACAGGGAGAGTGAGAGATACAGTGAGACACACAAGGAGAGTGAGAGATACAGTGAGACACACAAGGAGAGTGAGAGATACAGTGAGACACACAGGGAGAGTGAGAGATACAGTGAGACACACAGAGAGAGTGAGAGATACAGTGAGACACACAGAGAGAGTGAGAGACATTATGACGCAAATAATCAAAATTAGAAACGGTTAAAGCAGATTCGCAAAAAAATAAATGTTGAACTTTACATAAATATTCTGATAATTGTATACTGACAGGTCACCAGCCATGAGTCACCAAGTACAGTATACTGACAGGTCACCAGTCATGAGTCACCAAGTACAGTATACTGACAGGTCACCAGCCATGAGTCACCAAGTACAGTATACTGACAGGTCACCAGTCATGAGTCACCAAGTACAGTATACTGACAGGTCACCAGTCATGAGTCACCAAGTACAGTATACTGACAGGTCACCAGCCATGAGTCACCAAGTACAGTATACTGACAGGTCACCAGTCATGAGTCACCAAGTACAGTATACTGACAGGTCACCAGTCATGAGTCACCAAGAACAGTATACTGACAGGTCACCAGCCATGAGTCACCAAGTACAGTATACTGACAGGTCACCAGTCATGAGTCACCAAGTACAGTATACTGACAGGTCACCAGCCATGAGTCACCAAGTACAGTATACTGACAGGTCACCAGCCATGAGTCACCAAGTACAGTATACTGACAGGTCACCAGCCATGAGTCACCAAGTACAGTATACTGACAGGTCACCAGCCATGAGTCACCAAGTACAGTATACTGACAGGTCACCAGCCATGAGTCACCCAGTATACTGACAGGTCACCAGTTATGAGTCACCAAGTACAGTATACTGACAGGTCACCAGCCATGAGTCACCAAGTACAGTATACTGACAGGTCACCAGCCATGAGTCACCAAGTACAGTATACTGACAGGTCACCAGCCATGAGTCACCAAGTACAGTATACTGACAGGTCACCAGCCATGAGTCACCCAGTATACTGACAGGTCACCAGCCATGGGTCACCCAGTATACTGACAGGTCACCAGCCATGAGTCACCCAGTATACTGACAGGTCACCCAGTATACTGACAGGTCACCCAGTATACTGACAGGTCACCAGCCATGGGTCACCCAGTATACTGACAGGTCACCAGCCATGAGTCACCCAGTATACTGACAGGTCACCAGCCATGGGTCACCCAGTATACTGACAGGTCACCAGCCATGAGTCACCCAGTATACTGACAGGTCACCAGCCATGGGTCACCCAGTAAACTGACAGGTCAGCAGCCATGAGTCACCCAGTATACTGACAGGTCACCAGCCATGGGTCACCCAGTATACTAACAGGTCACCAGCCATGAGTCACCCAGTATACTGACAGGTCACCAACCATGAGTCACCCAGTATACTGACAGGTCACCCAGTATACTGACAGGTCACCAGCCATGAGTCACCCAGTATACTGACAGGTCACCAGCCTCGTGTCAACTAGCAACACAGTTCACCAGAATACTGTTTACCAACAGGTATTTGTCAGCGTTTACTAGTGGAACAATAATATATTCTGACTCCGACAATCCCAGTAACACCGCCCACGACCACTCCTGAGTTACCTCCACTATTAACGTCATTACCATGCGTACTATTATATTATGACACAACAAGGCTCCTTCTACTGTAATGATGTCACTCACACCTCTCACCGTACTCTGTTCACTGTAAATGCACTAAATAAGTGCAAGAACCATTGCTCTCTGCCCCACCTTCTCCCAACCTTCAAGTATGGCGCCGACTTGGATCTTTATTAAAGCTTCTCCCAACGTCACCATCTTTGTTGCTGGCTTTTCTGAACCCGACTGTTCCAACTGGGTCTGGCCGCCTCACTGACTGTCCCAACTGGATCTGGCCGCCTCACTGACTGTTCCAACTGGATCTGGCCGCCTCACTGACTGTCCTAACTGGATCTGGCCGCCTCACTGACTGTTCCAACTGGATCTAGCCGCCTCACTGACTGTTCCAACTGGATCTGGCCGCCTCACTGACTGTCCCAACTGGATCTGGCCGCCTCACTGACTGTTCCAACTGGATCTGGCCGCCTCACTGACTGTTCCAACTGGATCTGGCCGCCTCACTGACTGTTCCAACTGGATCTGGCCGCCTCACTGACTGTTCCAACTGGATCTGGCCGCCTCACTGACTGTCCCAATTGGATCTGACCGCCTCACTCATAGTTCCAACAGGATCTGACCGCCTCACTGACTGTCCCAACTGGATCTGGCCGCCTCACTGACTGTCCCAACTGGATCTGGCCGCCTCACTGACTGTCCCAACTGGATCTGGCCGCCTCACTGACTGTCCCAACTGGATCTGACTGCCTCACTGACTGTCCCAACTTGATCTGGCCGCCTCACTGACTGTCCCAACAGGATCTGGCCGCCTCACTGACTGTCCCAACTGTATCTGGCCGCCTCACTGACAGTCCCAACAGGATCTGACCGCCTCACTAACTGTCCCAACTGGATCTGACTGCCTCACTGACTGTCTCAACAGGATCTGGCCGCCTCACTGACTGTCCCAACAGGATCTGGCCGCCTCACTGACTGTCCCAACTGGATCTGACTGCCTCACTGACTGTCTCAACAGGATCTGGCCGCCTCACTGACTGTCCCAACTGGATCTGGCCGCCTCACTGACTGTTCCAACTGCATCTGGCCGCCTCACTAACTGTCCCAACTGGATTTGGCCGCCTCACTGACTGTTCCAACAGGATCTGACTGCCTCACTGACTGTCCTAACTGGATCTGGCCGCCTCACTGACTGACCCAACTGGATCTGGCCGCCTCACTGACTAGTGAACATTTCCTGGCGAGCCAACCTGTCCTCGACTCAAGTCCATTCCATCCAGAGGTCGACCCCAAGGACGCATTCATAAATTTTAACACGCTGTTCGCTTGAAACAGGAGTTTTCTCATATATAAATTAATATTATAATATATTAGCATATTGTGAATATATCGGTATAGGATAGGTTAGGTTAGGTGTTTAGGTTCTGTTGGCGATTATTTGTATTTGTAGTACGTCTGTGAAGTATTTATAGCTTTGTGATTCGAACAAAATTCGTCAGTGAAACACTTGTTCCGGATATGTTCGAACGTCAGCAGTTGTGAGTCATGTGTAAACCGTTTTTCATTCATAAACAGGGGGTTTGGCGGGTGCATGGAATCAGTTTTGGGTCTTTGTCAGGAGGACGGGCTGGTTTATGAATGTAAAGCGGTTTACACACGACTCACAACTGATGACGTTCGAACACTTCCGGAACAAGTGCTTCACTCACGAATTCTGTTTGAACCACAATGCTATAAATGTTTCACCCAGGAACTACAAATACAAATAATCACCAACAGAACCTAAACACCTAATCTAACCTAACCTATACCTATATATGCACAATAGGCTAATATATTATAATATTAATTTACATTTGAGAAAATTCTTGTTTTGAATGAACAGCATGTTAAAATTTATGAATGCGTCCTTGGGGTCGACCGCTGGATGGAAAAGACTTGGTCTGAGGACGGGCTGCTCCAGATGAATGAAATGTTTACTCCTTTGCAAGATAGTTTTCTCAACGCTAGGTTGGGTGATTCAGAGCAGGTTGGTACACTTATATTAAAGTAACCACTTCGTACACTGTCCTCTCCTGTAGTGGCTCATACTATCACCAGACTAGCTGCAACCCGTCTTAATAGCACGTCGCATTTTGACATAGTCTATTTAAGACTGAAACTGTCGTACTAGAATATGGGAGCTGTTCATGAAATTGACAATGACCCGTTTTCCGTCACGCCTCACTGACTGACAGTGATGTATGGTATGACGATACATACTGGCTGTTAGTTGGAATAACACACTTTAGTACGACAGGTTCTTGACGTTGGGAACGCTTGCGAGAACAGGCTGCTTGTACAGCAGGTCAGGGGTCATACTGGCCCCGGGCTGACCATACTGGCCCCGGGCTGACCATACTGGCCCCGGGCTGACCATACTGGCCCCGGGCTGACCATACTGGCCCCGGGCTGTAAGCTGTGAACATTACCTTCCTGCTTCATGAGTGGGGCGGAGACGTTGTAGTGTGGAGGAGCTCCAGGGGCGCCACACACCACTCCTCGGGCTGTGTCTTCCTCACCCATCACCCACCTGAGCCGTATTCTGCCATCCCCGTCACCTGTGGAACACTGCATGTATCATTCTTAATATCATGATAAACGTGTACAATACCTGTCACCCTCAGTGTGACATGAACTCTGGAGTATTAAGAAATTCTTATCATAATTTATGTCCGTGATAATCGTCCAAAAAAGGTAACATCGTATTTTAAGGTGAGAGAGAGATTAAGGCCGTCATAGGAGAGTGACTTATGGCACTTGAGTTAATACTTACGATGAGGGTTGGGACTTCTTGAGTATTGTGGCACAAGGTGGCCCTCCATGCGTTGTGACGGGTGACCGGAGACGCAGGTGACGCGCACTCTACCAGGGAAGGTGTCCAGGACCGGGTACACCATGGTGATGTCCGGCGCCCTGGTGTTGGTGGACCTGGGAGACCGTCGGGGGGACCTGACAGGTGATACTGTCACACCTGAGGAGTCGTCGTCAACGTTCCTGTCCAAACATTTGGGTAATAACGAAGGAACAAAAAGCAAGCAACAAAATGATAAATTAACCCAAAACAACAGCTTTTGTTGCCCACAAACCCCAAAACTTTGCTCAAGAAGAAGACATTTTCAACAATAATTATCATCCTTTATTGATAACATTAATGAGACAATCAGCTGGAGGACTTGGGTGACTCGAACCCGCGACCCCAGACTTACGGCCACAACCTCTACCTTAGTGTGAGTTCACTCTGTAGATAACATTAATTATAACAACACGGTCATATAACTCAGATACCTGGGTCAAGACAACACAGACACCTGGGTCAAGACAACACAGATACCTGGGTCAAGACAACACAAATACCTGGGTCAAGACAACACAGATACCTGGGTCAAGACAACACAGATACCTGGGTCAAGACAACACAGACACCTGGGTCAAGACAACACAGATACCTGGGTCAAGACAACACAAATACCTGGGTCAAGACAACACAGATACCTGGGTCAAGACAACACAAATACCTGGGTCAAGACAACACAGATACCTGGGTCAAGACAACACAGATACCTGGGTCAGGACAACACAGATACCTGGGTCAAGACAACACAAATACCTGGGTCAGGACAACACAGATACCTGGGTCAAGACAACACAAATACCTGGGTCAAGACAACACAGATACCTGGGTCAAGACAACACAAATACCTGGGTCAAGACAACACAGACACCTGGGTCAAGACAATACAGACACCTGGGCCAAGACAACACAAATACCTGGGCCAAGACAATACAGACACCTGGGTCAAGACAACACAGATACCTGGGTCAAGACAACACAAATACCTGGGTCAAGACAACACAGATACCTGGGTCAAGACAACACAGATACCTGGGTCAAGACAACACAAATACCTGGGTCAAGACAACACAGACACCTGGGTCAAGACAACACAGATACCTGGGTCAAGACAACACAAATACCTGGGTCAAGACAACACAGATACCTGGGTCAAGACAACACAAATACCTGGGTCAAGACAATACAAATACCTGGGCCAAGACAACACAGATACCTGGGTCAAGACAACACAGATACCTGGGTCAAGACAACACAAATACCTGGGTCAAGACAACACAGATACCTGGGTCAAGACAACACAAATACCTGGGTCAAGACAACACAAATACCTGGGTCAGGACAACACAAATACCTGGGTCAGGACAACACAAATACCTGGGTTATCTTGAGGTTATCTTGAGATGATTTCGGGGCTTTTTTAGTGTCCCCGCGGCCCGGTCCTCGACCAGGCCTCCACCCCCAGGAAGCAGCCCGTGACTGCTGACTAACTCCCGGGTACCTATTTACTGCTAGGTAACAGGAGCATTCAGGGTGAAGAAACTTTGCCCATTTGTTTCTGCCTCGTGCGGGAATCGAACCCGCGCCACAGAATTACGAGTCCTGCCAAGGGCCAAGGGTCCTGCCAAGGGTCTTGGCCCTACCTGGGTCAAGACAACACAAATACCTGGGTCAAGACAACACAAATACCTGGGTCAAGACAACACAAATACCTGGGTCAAGACAACACAAACACCTCCGTCAAGACAACACAAATACCTGGGTCAAGACAATACAGACACCTGGGCCAAGACAACACAAATACCTGGGCCAAGACAATACAGACACCTGGGCCAAGACAATACAGACACCTGGGCCAAGACAATACAAATACCTGGGCCAAGACAATACAGACACCTTGGCCAAGACAACACAAATTCCTGGGTCAAGACAACACAAATACCTGGGTCAAGACAACACAAACACCTGGGTCAAGACAACACAAATACCTGGGCCAAGACAATACAGACACCTGGGCCAAGACAACACAAACACCTGGGCCAAGACAACACAAATACCTGGGCCAAGACAATACAGACACCTGGGCCAAGACAACACAAATACCTGGGCCAAGACAATACAGACACCTGGGCCAAGACAACACAAATACCTGGGCCAAGACAATACAGACACCTGGGCCAAGACAACACAAACACCTGGGCCAAGACAACACAAATACCTGGGCCAAGACAATACAGACACCTGGGCCAAGACAATACAGACACCTGGGCCAAGACAACACAAATACCTGGGCCAAGACAATACAGACACCTGGGCCAAGACAATGCAGACACCTGGGCCAAGACAATACAGACACCTGGGCCAAGACAATACAGACACCTGGGCCAAGACAACACAAATACCTGGGCCAAGACAATACAGACACCTGGGCCAAGACAATACAGACACCTGGGCCAAGACAATACAGACACCTGGGCCAAGACAACACAAATACCTGGGCCAAGACAATACAGACACCTGGGCCAAGACAACACAAACACCTGGGCCAAGACAACACAAATACCTGGGCCAAGACAATACAGACACCTGGGCCAAGACAACACAAATACCTGGGCCAAGACAATACAGACACCTGGGCCAAGACAATACAGACACCTGGGCCAAGACAATACAGACACCTGGGCCAAGACAACACAAATACCTGGGCCAAGACAATACAGACACCTGGGCCAAGACAATACAGACACCTGGGCCAAGACAATACAAATACCTGGGCCAAGACAACACAGACACCTGGGCCAAGACAACACAGACACCTGGGTAAAGACAACACAAATACCTGGGTCAAGACAAGTCACACTGTTGTCTCTCACCTCTCACTGCTACACTTTTGTCTCTCATCTCTCACTGCTACACTGTTGTCTCTCACTTCTCACTGATACACAGTTGTCTCTCACCTCTCACTGTTACACTGTAGTCTCTCACCTCTCACTGTTACACTGTAGTCTCTCACTGCTACACTGTGTCTCTCACCTCTCACTGCAACACAGTTGTCTCTCGCATTTCACTGATACACAGTTGTGTCACACATCTCACTGCTGCAATGTTGTCGCTGTCACTGCTACACTGCAGTCTCTCACCTCTCACTGCTAAATTGAAGTCTCTCACTTCTCACTGATACACTGTTGTCTTTCACCTTTCACTGATACACTGTTATCTCTCACCTCTCACTGCTACTCAGTTCTCTCTCACCTTTGACTGCTTCACTGTTATCTCTCGTCTTTTACTGCCACACTGTTTTCTCTCGTTTTTGACTGCTACCCTGTTATCTCACTTCTTTAATTGCTACACTGTAGTCTATTACCTCACACTGGTACACTTTTGTCTCTCACCTCTCATTGCTACACTTTGGTCTCTCACCTCTGACTCTACACTGTTCTTTCTCACCTTTGACTGCTACACTGTTGTCTCTCACCTCTTACTCCTACACAGTTGTCTCTCACCTCTCAGTGCTACACTGTAGTCTCTCACCTCTCTTTGCTACACTGTTGCTTCTCAACTATAAATGCTACACTATTTTCTCTCACGTCTCACTGCTACACTGTAGTCTCTTACCTCTGACTGCTACACGGTTATCTCACACCTCTCACTGTAACTCTGTTGTCTCTCACCTCTAACTGCTACACTGAAGTTTCTCACCTCTCACTGCTACAAAGCTGTCTCTTAACTCTGACTGCTGCACTGTTGTCTCTCACCTCTCACTGCTACACAGTTGTCTCTTACTTGTCACTGATTCACAGTTGTGAAACACATCTCACTGCTACACTGTTTCTTTCACATCACACTGTTAGGGTGTTGTCTCATACCTCTCACTGCTGCACTGTTGTCTCTCCCTCACTGTTATACTGTAGTCGGTCACCTCTCCCTGCTACACTGAAGTCTCTCACTGATAAACTGTTGTCTTTCACCATTCACTGATACACTGTTGTCTACCACATCTTACTGCCACAAAGGAAGTCTCTCACCTCTCACTGCTACACTGTTGTCTCTCACCCCTGACTGCTACACAGTTGTCTCTCACCTCTAACTGCTACACTGTTCTCTCTCACCTTAGATTGCTACACTGTTATCTCTCGCCTTTTACTGCTACACTGCGGTCTCTTACCTCTGACTAATACACTTTTGTCTCTCACCTCTCACTGCAATACTGTTCTCTTACTTCTCAGTGATAAACAGTTGTCTCTCACCTCTCACTTCTACACTGTTGTCTTTCACCTCACATTGATACACAGTTGTCTCTCACCTCTGTTATGATCTAAGCCTGCAGGAGAAACGAGTCTCCCTCCTTGAGAGTTATTCAGCAAGCCTGACCAGATTAGAAGGTCTAGCAAATATTGAGGTAATAACCCATATGTAAAATAGTTGCTTGGATATGTATAACAGTTTGAGATTATGGGCAATGAAGGAGAAAACAGATAAATGACTGGCTAGGAGATGTGGACATTTTGCTGGAGGCGTGAGGCTCGCTTCCGGAGGACCTTGACCTCACTTGAGTGCCAGACATCGCAGGGGAAAGCTGCGCTCCGTTTGAGCTCCCGTCAGAAGGGAACCCCTAGTGATATATCTCGAAGAGAAGAGAAGTGTGTAGACGTGCCAGCTGTGGAACCGAGCTGGGAACGTTGTGGTATCAAGTCCTGGTCGACGAGCAGAGTTTAATAAGCTACTCAGAGGCATTTTCGTGGGCTGTGTGGAGCGCCCTGACCAGACGCCGTCAGAGGGAAAGCGCCCTCGATCAGTTAATCTGTGGTAAGCACGATATACGCCAGTTCATAGTGATTGCTTGTAGTTGGTCGTGTGCCCAGCGACAGTAGCAATGTTTATTTATAAGTTAGACATGTTTTAATAAGGCAGAAGGCCTGAAATAGGAGAGTGAAGAGGGAGGAACACGGAGCGACGTCCGTCCTCTCTGAGCTCTGACGGACGACTGAGGGAGGAAGACCCTCCCAGCGAGTGAGGACCGCCGCCAGGCGAGGTGGAGTATGGACC